CAATAAAAAAATTAACCAGTTTCCTAAGAATTCGATTAGTTGCCGTCTCTACAAAATATTATAAGTAATTCTTTGGTTGTTAAATATTTTTACTGTTGGATCTTTATCACTGAAGCAAATAAATATACAAAGGAAAATATAATAACACATAATAACTAAGAATGGGGCAAGGAAGAGACAAAAGGGGGCACAAATGAACAAAGCAGTCTGATTAGGATTTCATAATGCGGTCTCAAAAGTTAGATTAGTAGCAGATACGGATGTGAATGTTTGCCCTTTTTTTATTGCTAGTGGGGTGGGACTAAGTCCCTTGTACTGCGTCCACTTCTGGCCTGTTGTACCAGACCCAGATGATAGGTGAGGGTGATTGTGGAGCAGTTAGTAGAATGAAGAATGGCAGGGGAAACCGAAGTACTCGGAGAAACCCTGACCCAGTGCCACTGTGTCCACCACAAATCCCACTTGACCAGACCCGGGATCGACCCCAGGCCGCCGCGATGGGAAGCCAGAGACTAACCGCTTGAGCTATGGCGCGGCCATGTTTGCCCTTAGAATAAAAAATAAACAAAGGCTTGATAAAGTACAAGAGCGATTTTCATATACAGTGAAAAAAGTAACCTTAAGAGATAATACAGTGAAGTTGGGATATAGAGAATTTATTTGACGTTAATGAAATGACAGACAACATTGAAGAATACAAAGATAAGTGGAGAACTCGTGTTCACCGGATGCCAGTTTGCACATTTCTAAAACAGAGTATTCAAGAACGAGTATAGACCTCGAGCAAAGTGGGATTTAAGGAAATCAGGAATGAGATTTTCTAAGTAGCCTATATAAGCTTGCAGCAAACCTGAAGAGCTTGAACTTTGCCGAAAATAAAATATTCTGCCAGTGATTAATGGTGATAAGAAAATCACCAGATGTTCCATCACTAGAAGCCTGCGGTATAAGAACCAGCTGATAATCAGTAGGGCCATGTTACATCATAGCCCATGTTGCTGTCCAGTTGGGTAATATTCATTATTTAAAATCTGCCAACATATCTGAATTGGACTTTGAGGTAGACCACAATCACTTCCACTTCTGTTCTTCACAAGCCACTGTAATCATCAATTTTCCCCACATTCAAATTCAATTATTATGGATTAGGCCAGTCGGAAGCTTACCAATTTATAATTTTTTTTTCATCAGTAATCTGTCATACGACAGGTCCACAGTCTCTTCCAAAACAGTTCCTCCACTTAATGCGATCTAGAGCTTTCTCCTTCAAATAAAAATTAATTATGGAACAATAAATCCCTTTACGAATAAGATAGGGTCTCGTGGATACAGGACGGCTTACCTACACAGCACAGCAGAAAATAAAGGCTGAAAATTCCAACATATCTTTCATTTGTACTCGCGAGGTTCCGGGCTAAATTTCAGCATGGGCGCTGATTCGCCTCGGGTTCCCATAAAATGCTGGGCTCCCAATATAAACTTCCAAAGTCGTCATTTATAATGATCCTCCCATTCTTGGTATATATTCTGTGCGGCTAAGACAGCGTCATTAAGTAAAGTAAAAAGCAAATACTAATTCGTCGATCGGGGCAGATCTGGTACGACCGGCTTTTCAAGTATTCTTCAACAGTGCGGAACATACAACCCAGAACTTCACTTTATGAAGTAAGTCGGGACCTGGGTTAGCGTCTGGCACTTCCCGATGCATTCATACATGAATGCCCATCACTTTATGAGCGAGTGAAGACCATCAACAATAATGACATGATCTTAATAGGTGAGGAGGCTAGTGGAGGCAGCTACGGAAGTAATATGTAATGGCTGCCTCCCCCTTTACCCCTCATTGTGGTAGTTTACGCGTGGGCAATGGCAATTTAGAAATTTTTTATCAAAATGTAAGAGGTCTTCGCACCAAATCTACTGAAATATTTAACACTGTGTGCTCCTTTGATTATGAAATTATATGTTTAACTGAAACGTGGTTAAATGAATCTTTTTCCACTCAAGATTTTTTTCCTGGAACGTATACTGTATATCGTTCTGATAGAGACTGCATTGACAAGTTGCGTGGTGGTGGTGTTTTGACGGCTGTTTCAGACACTGTTTTCGGCATCAAACGCAGACCCGACCTTGAATTTTTTCACGAATCTGTTTGGGTTGAGGCTACATTATCTGATGGCCGTAACTTGCTCATTGGCAATCACTATTTTGCACCTGATATTAAGGTTGATATTATTAATAATTATTTCAATTTTTTAGAAAATTCTTTAGATACTTTAAATTATCGGGTACTTTTGCTTGGTGATTTTAATGTTCCTGGCTATGATTGGGATAATGGTTTTCCTTCACCAACCAGTCATTTTTATACCAAACTTCGTGGAGATGTGATTTACTCAGCCGTTTGTTATCTTGGTTTTAGTCAATATAATCATCCGGTTAATGGACTTAATTTGCTTGATCTTGTATTTTCGAATTTTGGTAACTTTTCATTGATTTCTGTTGATCAAGGACTTGTTCATCCTGACCCTTTTCACCCCCCTTTTATTATTGATTGTAAAATTCCACTTCGGCAAAGTAACCAAAATTTTAGTACTCCTTGTAAATTATATTCTGCAGGGGACTATGCATTACTTTATAATGCCCTATTCACCTATGATTGGTCTGCGCTGTACAATGAAACGTCTGTTGATGCTGCCGTTGATCAACTAAATATTGCTGTAATGCAAGCCATTAACCTAGCTGTTCCTTCTGGTTGGGTTAAGAAGCGTAAATACCCTATCTGGTTTTCTGGTAGGCTTATAGCTTATGTTAAAAGGAAGAATTATTTTTATAGACGCTACAAGAAGCACAAGACTGATCGTTTATATGATAGATTTTCTTTTTATCGGAAACTAGTAAAAAGAACAATAAAGTCCGATAAACATCTTTGGCTCTTATCTGTCGACCAAAATTTAAAATCTAATCCGCAACAATTTTGGAAGTATGTGTCTCAACATAGGAAAAAGTATAATGATTTAACTTATCTTGATGATGATGGTGTTCTTTTAAATGAACCTCACGATATTGTTGAGTCCTTTTCTAAACACTTTCAGTCGGTTTTTAATAGAAGTACTCTTGGTATTGACACACTTTCTCTTGATAAACTTTGTACGGATAATTTACCCTTAGCTTATATTTCCAATCGTGATGTACAAAACGCTATAAAACGGCTGCGACCGACGAAATCGGTTGGTACTGATGGTATACCGAATTTTGTCATTAAGGGCTGTTCTGAAATTTTAGTACCTGTACTTAGATATATCTTTAATCTTAGCCTGTCTCAGAATTCTTTCCCCAAATTGTGGAAGCAAGCAATCATTGTTCCCGTTTTTAAAAAAGGTAAAACTTCTTCAGTTAGAAATTATAGGCCTATTGCTATTCTTAACAATTTTTCTAAAGTATTTGAATTTATTATACATGACCACATTTATCAATTTTTTAAATCTAAACTTAGCCCTTTTCAGCATGGTTTTATAAAATCTAAATCTACCACTACTAATTTAGTCACTTTTCTCGACTTTGTTTCCCCCTTAGTTTGTACGCAAGGCCAAGTTGACTCTATTTATTTTGATTTTAGTAATGCATTTGATACTGTATCCCATACCTTGCTTCTTTATAAGCTCAACAATTATGGATTATCTTCTGGTTATGTAAACTGGTTACGCAGTTATTTAACAGACAGAGAGTCTTGTGTTCGTTTTTTAGGCCTATTTTCTACTCCTTTTATTGTTCTTTCTGGCGTTCCTCAAGGTTCTGTTTTAGGGCCTCTGCTTTTTAATATTTTTATTAATGATTTGCCTGAAGTCATTAATCACTCCAGTTGTTTACTTTTTGCTGATGATTTTAAAGTTTATAGAGCTATCAAAACACTTAATGACTGTCTTTTTCTACAGTCGGATATTGAACGGGTACAAGATTGGTGTTCGGTAAACTTAATGAAACCGAACCTTAGTAAAACCAATGTTATTTCCTTTTCCAGGAAAACTACTGTTTTGAAATATCAATACAGACTCGGAAATTTTTTTATTTTGCGAACTGATAGTATTAAGGATCTTGGAGTACTTATCGATTCAAAGCTTCACTTTCATCAACATGTAGATATTTTATTTTCACAAACTATGAAATTACTAGGATTAATTCGCACCATTACGTTTTCCTTCTCTACCTTAGACAGTCTTTTGATGCTGTATACTGCTTTAATCAGATCCAAACTGGAGTACGCTTCTGTTGTTTGGAATTCGATAACGAATACTGACTCCAGCAAACTTGAGCGTATACAAAGAAAATTTGCAGCTCTCTGTCATAATAGATTTTTTAAAGATATAGATTATCATTATTTTAGTATTTTGGATAAACTAAATCTGCAAACCTTGGATGTCAGACGGCGTCATATTGATGCTTTGTTTTTAATAAATGTTTTTAGAGGCACAACATATTGCTCCTCTGTCCTTGATGCGGTCGGTTTGCGGGTTCCTTCTCGGAACATTCGAAATTTTTCTACATTTAGCTGTTCTTTCAGTCGCTGTCCCACAGCTAGATGTGTTGTTGCTGCAAATTTTGTTTGCGAACTTGTAGACATTTTTAGTAAGTCTAGTTTAAGTTTGAATTGTTTAGTTTGATAAATTTTGTACTTTTGGTTGTTTTTTACTATTTGCACTGTCTTTTTAACTGTCACTGGCTTTTGAGCTAAGTATGCAATTAGTTTTTTGCTGTTAATTGTTTTTAATTTTCCAAATACTTAACGTTTTTGACCTGTTATTATCTATGTGTGTATTGTCTTGATTTTTATTATTGTCTGTTGTTTGTCGTTTTATATTTTCCGTGCTGACTCTGTAATTGGCCTCCGCTGTTGAGCTCGGCACGTAAATAAATAAAGCATTGAATTGAATTGAATTGAATTGAATTATTACTACAAGAGTATAATCTTTATAATATTTAAGTTACTGTAACAGAAGATTTGAACATCTTTCTGGTATCAAATACTGATTGTGTTTTTATCAACATCCAGTGCTATGTAAATTGTTTTCGCAGTTGCTCTTCTCTTGTTATCACTTTCTGTTCGATGTCACTTGTTGAAATGGTTCAGGGTCCTTCGTTCTCTTGTTGATTTTTGTCTGAGAAAGAGAAAAAGATAAAGGGCATTTACTGGTATTTTTAAATTTCCCATTCTGGACTCATTACAATGTTTTTCTTATTCAAACAAACTTGTTGGTGATAACGACCGGAGATTAACAGGCCTTTGGAACAAAACCTAAGAGGAAAATTCCATCATAAGTATCGGAATACACAATTTGCAGCGTTTCAGGTGATCAAAACAGAGACTGTCTTCTGTAAAATTTTGGTTCATTTTCTGATAGCAGCCGACAAAGCAGCGCATCGGTATGTCTGGAAACAGCAATGGATCTACTGGGGTATGCGATGCGAACCTCAGACTTCACACACTGCATCTCGACAGTGTGGCTGGTTCACTTATAATTGACAGAGTCACTGTGATTTGTATCGTAGACATTTGAATTGTAAAGATACATATAAATTTCTCCTTGGACTTACAGTAAGACGTTGGCCGCGCCATAGCTCAAGCGGTTAGTCGCTGGCTTCGATCCAGGGTCTGATCAATTGGGATCTGTGGTGGACAAAGTGGCGCTGAGGCAGGTTTTCTCCGAGTACTTCGGATTCCCCTGCCAATCTTCATTCCACCAATTGCTCCACAATCACCCTCACCTATTATCTGAGGCTGGTAGAATAGGCTAGAAGTGGCCTAAGTAGAAGGGACTTAGTCCCAACCCACTAGCAATAACAGAAAATAATACAGTAACACGTCATGCCGATATTATTTAGAAATTAATGGTTAATTTAAATTTTGGACCTTTATCTTCGAAACAAAAGACTCGTAACCATTTCACAAAACGATGACTGGACCGCACGTCATGTTGGCAGGTGGCGGTACATAGAGAGCCCAGCTCGAATTAAACCACATCGTCCAATGTCAGCAAATCACCACACTTGCTGTTACGCCTAGACATTTCTCTGTTATAAATTTCTGTGAGTTATTGACGTAGGCCTATAGCTTCTCTTAACTGATCACACTTAAAAATTTAAAGGAAAATGTAGAAATTTCCTGATAGAAATACACAACAGGCTCACACAATCTCGTATTTCCGTTGGTGAGACTCATTACAGAAACCTCATCACTGGAAATCTCGCTGGGTTGGTACGTTTTAATTTTCTGTTATAAATTAAACCGAAATATCTGTCGCGCATGTTTCTGAAATATAAATAACCGTACATGTTTACTATACAGCACAAATCAATGAAAGGTCTAGAGTTTTTTGTGGTAATCAACATGCAGCCGTTCTTCAGGTATCTTATAGATTATAAGAATATAGTATAGGAGGGAAATGGTTGATGACGAAGACTAAAACTTCATAACATGGTAGGCCTGTGTGAAATACTGTATACATTGTGAGGGTTTCTACAGTTACACACACATTAATAACACAAATAATATTGAAATTTATTTCCTCTCTTCCTATTCTAAAATATACTCTAATGGGAATGGTTGATTTTAACAAGTACCTCACTGAGAATGCCCGCAATTAGTGGTATTTTGGGTTTTTCATAATTTGTCCTATGAAGTTTAAAACCAATCTACATGTTCTCGGAAATTTCTTCTTCTTCTTCTTCTGCTTTTCCTTCNTCTTCTTCTTCTTATTATTATTATTATTATTATTATTATTATTATTCTCCCTCTCCCCTCCTCTTCCTTCTTCTCTTTCTTATTCTTTTCTTTTGTGATACTATAGACTGTGGTCCAAGGTTTGACATGTTACATGTCTCGAAAACTTTTTCAGATATTTGGTAGGACTCCTTGGATGGGGATCAGACTGACATAAAGCTTCTATCTACACAAGACAGCACATACATGGAAAGAAAGCAAATATACTTCCATCCCCGAGTGGTATGCAAACCCAAGATTCCAGTTGCCAATTTTCGCAGGAGACTTACTGTCCTGCCACGAGCCGTTACGAAACTTCTGTTACGGGTGTCCTAACTCTAGCCAGTGTCATTGTAAATTTACAATTAGAGCAAAATGACAAATTAGGGTATGAATGTTTCAAGAAAAATATGATATGTTTATCGAGTGTGTTCAAACAAAATTTACAGGAAAGCATTTTGAGCTGTAATCGTAGTGCTACTTTTTCTTTCGCTAGGAACCCCCCTTCCGCAGAGGTTGGTAGGAAGCTAAAATATAAAATAATAAAAAAAATTGGGTTACAGGATGGAAACAGTGATGGTACAGAAGTGATAGAAATATTGTAGTAACTGCTCTGACTTCAAGAGTGTAAGTAGTTTGTACGTATTGTTTCTTTGTATGTACTGTAGTTTATATGTCTGTATGCGATGAAAATGTGTACCACAAAAACCTGGTGTTATCTGGGCACATGTAACGAAACTAAACTCAATAAATTAAACCAAATTACATTTCCTTTCGAAAGAAGAAAGTCCTAACAAAATATGAATATTTTTCGAAGAGCTATTACCGTATGAAATTAAAAACAAATTTAATGGCGCCAATGTTGATCCTATCTCACAAGTTCTCACAGCCACCATATTAGTGTTATTGAAGCATAACTAAATACTGTTATATTTAAGCAACCTGCTGTACCAGTTGAACATTTCACGCGCGTGCGCTCACACACACACACACACACACACACACACAATACAGACTTCAATGCAGCTTACAGATCATTGGTAGGATCACCACATAATGGCCTTAGTCGCGTAAATTCCATCACATATTTCGGCCATACAGGGCCATCGGCAGGATATATGATGATTCACATAAATTGAAACACTTTACCATAGTCCGTAAGTGCTGTAGTTCTGGAAAGCTTATTAATTAAACCAATTTTTGATGCCTGGTAAATTTTATATATAAATATTTATAAAAACTTTTAAAGTGGTCTCAAATTGTGTAATGTGTGTAAGGGTGCTCCTCTTGCGTATGTTCTGCTTTGTGTTTTCCGTAGAGATGCGTATCTCACGGGTTGTGTCCTGGTTGGGTGTCTTTCGCTCGTCAATGTGTGGGTCAGTACGAGGGAATACGGCACTAAAACATGCACAATAAAAGTAAACGACATAAAAAATACTGAAATAGCCGTCAAAAAAGATAGGATGGAAATATCCTACGAAAGAAATTAACAACAGAAACAACGATATGGCTAAGGGCTCAGAAGACAAAGTGTATAGTGCAGCGGTCTCCTCAATAATAAATGTTGCCTGATGAAGGCCCATGTGTAGCCGAAACATGTAGCAACATGGAGTGAATGTATATAGTTAATGACATTTAAAATGTTTAACACACGCTTCTAGTGCATTAAATATATTTAAGTGTCTTTTATAAAAGTTTGATTTTCTTGCATTATGGACGGAATAATTATGATCTAAAAATGTGTAGGTAGACTGCACATTTTAAGACACCAACAAAAGGTTTAAATGACAAACCCTTCACGCATACAGCCCTCGCAGGCTATACGATACTACGGTACAGGACAATGTAACAATTTGCGTGAGTCATCACGTACATCTGATAATAGCCCCGTGTGGCATGAAAGCATGAACTCAGCTAATGATCTGTAGCTGCAATGAAGTTTGTATTGTGAGTGTATCAAGTAACCAAATGGCCTAAGCTTCAAGACCTCTGAATCCAAACCTCGATATCAGACACGATCCTTATTAGTCTTCCCATACCATAAAATTGTCTCTTCAAACATCTGTCTACTGCCAACATCTCAGCACCTTCTAGGTCTTCCATAAAATGTTATTTAGGATATTTCTTTATGACAATTATGTATGACCTGAAGGTTACTACCTCCTGCAATGTGATGCAATTTACTCCGGTAGAAGTCTACCGGCAGGTCACGGTAGCCGAGCGGTCTAAGGCATGTACTGTCTTCGCTCGCTTGGAAACCGGGATCGTGGGTTCTAATCCCACTCAGGGCATGGATGTTTATGTGCGTTTTTCTGTGTTTGTCTACAGGTAGAGGCATTGCGACGAGCTGATCACCCGCCCAAGGAGTCCTACCCAACGTGTAAGATCTAGAAAAACCGAAGTGAACGGAGAAGTTCATGGACGTAGGCCTAGGCCCACTGGGGCTGTAGTGCC